CTGAGATTCTGTATGAAAACTTCCAGCAAAGAAGCTTGAAAGCACTTATGTGGTCAGCTCTTATTCTTGCTGCACTTACATAATTGGGCAAAATCTAACAAAACTAGACAGATTTTAAAATAGATTTTAAAATTCTATTTTAAAAACAAGAATAATCTGACTTTGATTATGATAAAAAATGATGGTTACAATAGAGAGAAAGTTTATGTTTCAATGGAAAACTATAACTCGGCCAGGCTTGCTGGCACATGCCTATAATTCCAGCACTTTGGGAGGCCAGGAGTCCAAGACAAGCCTGGGCAACATGGTGAAACCGCATCTTTACTAAAAGTACAAAAATTAAGTAGGCATGATGGTATGTGCTTATAGTCCCAGCTAATCAGGAGGCTGAGGAGGGAGACTTGCTTGTACCCAGGAGCTAGAGGGTGAAGAGGGCTGAGCTTGCACCATTGCACTCCAGCCTCAGCGATAGAGCCGAACCCCGTCTCAAACATTTTTTTAAATAAGAAAACTATAGCCCTTTAGGGTTATCAGATTCTAGTCTTGTTTCTTGTCTTTGAGCTATTTTTACCTCTTTGAAAACTGGATCCTGCCATCTGATGAATTTTGTCCCACGATGATGCTTGTGGAACAAGAAGCCAAGTATTGTCCCCCTACTAATGTATCTATTGTCACTTAATTTGAAGACCTCTAATCCTGGAACAAAGTTAGAAGAGGAACGTTTTGCTCCCCAGAATGCATAACCAAGTTGTGATACATTCATGCAATGGAATACTGTTTAGCCATAGAAAGGAACAAGCTATCAACTCACACAAAGACATGAATGAATCTTTGACGCACATTGCTAAGTGGAAGAAGACAGTCTCAGGAGAATCCACACAGTGTGACCTCATTTAATGAGATTCTGCAGAAGGGAAACTACACAGACGGGAAGACGTCAGCTGCATGGGGTGGGGGTTTGAAGCATTCCATATGATACTTTAATAGTGGATACCTGCCACTATGCATTTGTCAAAACACGCAGAATTTTACAGCTAAATGGGTAAATCAAACTCTATTCTAATTAAATAATATTATTCAGGATATGGAGTATCCCAGCACAGAATACATAGTGTGAAAAATAATTTAACTATGCTACAAATTACTATGGTTTGGATGTGCTTTGCCCCTGCAAAAACTCATGTTGAAATTTGACCCCCAATGTGGCAATGTGTGGAGGTGGGGCCCAGCGGAAGGTGTTTGGATTATGGAGACGGATCCCTCATGAATAGATTAATGCCCTCCCATGGGGGTGAGTTCTGTCTGCTCTCAAAGGAATGGATTAATTCCTGCAAGAGTAGATAGTCAAAAAGAGTGGCTTCCTTGGCTTCCTTCTTGCTTTCCCTCTTGCTGTGATCTCTGGTGCACCCCTTGCTCCCCTTCCACTTTCCACCATGAAGTGAAAAAGACTGAGGCCCCACCAGATGCAACTGCCCAATCTCAGACATCCCAGCCACCAGTATTGTGAGCCAAATGAACCTTTTTTACTTACAAATTACCCTGCCACAGGTATTCTGTCACAGAAGCACAAAATGGACTAAGACACAAATGTGGGAAAAAACTCACTGAAGATGTAGGGAAAATGGTGCTGACCTAAGTCTCTTTGAAAATAAATAGAATCTGTAGGCTGGAGGCATATGAACTATACTTCATCATCGGATTCCATTTTATAAAGTTCTTTCCAACAGGGGTAATCGTGAACAATTGAAAAACCACAGTATCTGTATCTGGAATAAAACAATGAGTTACGTAAGTAGTAGATGGTAGGAACCACGTCTATCACTGCTGTAGGGGAGGTTACAAATCAGCAAGGGAGAAGGGTAGAAAGATTCATGTGATAGTAGATCAGAGATGAAGACATCAACGTAAACTAAACATAAAAAAAGGTTTCCATGAAACCTTTGTAATTGGGTGTCTATAGGTAGGTGACATACACACATATACTTCCTAGCGTTGCTAATGAGGAACAAGACACGACGTGCTCATTCGGCAGCCAGATGTAAGTTTTCCTACCATTCTGAAAGGAATCAGGCTCTTTGAAGAAATGTCTGATACTAAAACTGGGACAGTAAATATATAAGCCAGGATAATCTTGAAGTATCAGAAAGTAAGTAAGTACTAAAAAAATTGAAATATGTCAAAAAAAAATTGGAGCCAATAAAAAGAGCTACCAATGACCAACACAGAAATGAATTGTGCAACATCATGCTGCAGTGTTTAATACTAACTAAAGCTTCAGGTAATTATCTAGGTGTCCGTATTTGTATATGTAGGTGAATAAGCAAATGGAGTTGAATAGAAATCTCCTTTGCAAAAGAATTCCAAATAATTGATGTGGAGTGAGTATGGGCTTTTACATATGTGTAAACTTATTCATCGTATTTTTTTCTTGCACTGTGGTTGTGTCCTGGGTTCCTTCTCTAAAATTCTATTCACCTTAGACCAGGGAAAAAAAGTAACCTTGGCCAGGCGTGGTGGCTCACACCTGTAATCCAAACACTTTGGAGGCCAAGGCAGGTGGATCACCTGAGGTCAGGAGTTCAAGACCAGCCTTACCAACATGGTGAAACCCTGTCTTTACTTAAAAAAAAGAAAAGGAACCTTACAGACTCTGCTTCAATTCATGGCTAAATATTTTAAAAAGAGTGACTTTGTAAAAATATGTTCCAATGGGAAATTGATTCATTGTGACTGGATCACTTATTCCAAATACTTCTTGTCTTTATTTTGTTCCAGTGCCTACCTTTTAACCATAATACACCAGAATCAAATATTGGCCACTGGGAAAAAATATTCAAAGAAAGAAAAAATGTGAACTGAACTTGTGACCATGGTCAATGTTTCACCACAATGCTTTCCAAAACAGAAGAGTTTAAAAGGACATTCAAAGTCAATCTCCTCAACAAGGCTTTGCAGAAAATGAGGAAACGAGAGAAACGAAAGTGGCAGGATAGTCTATGGGTGATTTTAGATGTTTCTATGTTTTACGGGGAAAAATCACTTTACCTTTTAAAGAATCACAAAGAATTATTGGAAACCCAAACTCTGGAATGTTTCCAAATTAAGTTGAACTTCTATGTAATTATGTCTATATACCTAGTCATGAAGTTGATGATTTTTTTAAAATGTGTGCCATTGTGTAATAAAATACACAATGAATAATTAACACTCATAGAAAAACATGTTAGACCTTGTGAAAGGAAAATAAATCTTGAGGACCCAAAATCACTAAGCTAAAGAAAAAAGTCAAGCTGGGAACTGCTTAGGGCAAAACTGCCTCCCATTCTATCGAAGTCACCGTCTGCTCACCGAGATAAATGCACATCCGATTCTCATCTGGAAAGGGTAATAGGCACCCCAAAAGAATGAAACCATTCATCTTTATCTACCAGTGGTCTGGAAGCTCCCTGTCTGGCCTTCTCTTCAAGTTGTCTCACCTTTCAGGACTGAATCAATGTATATCTTATACATGATTGATGTCTCATGTCTCCCTGAAATGTATAAAACCAAGCTGTGCTCCTGCCATCTTGGACACTTGTTGTCGGGCCCTCATGAGAATGCATCACAGGTGTGGGCATCCTCAAACCTGGCAAAATAAACCCCCTAAAAAATCTGAGACCTGTCTCAGGTTTTCAGGGTTCATACATGTAATGTAGGATGTTAATGTTTGTAAAACAGACACTATTCTATCTATTACAATGGTACTGCCAATTAACCTTAGACTTTCTCCACAAAATAAAAAATGATGAGGTACAAATAATGTATTTGAACTTAAATAAGGTTTCAAGTTTTAATATGCCTACTTTTCATTTTTTAATACTGTTTTGACTAAGGCTGTAAGAAAAATGAGTAATTAAAACATGAATAACAGTGTTTACAGGGGGTGGACATGTTTCCTCCAGCCTCAGGCTTGGGGTGACTTGAAAGTGACACCTGCCCATCCCCAGCTATCATCCCAGCTGTCCTGATGGTGGCTCTAAGCATTTCCCCTTTCTCTATGTGAAGATCAAACTCCAGAAACAAACCCAAATCTTACCATATGTTATGACACACTATGATGATGAGCAGGGATGCTTCTGAAAACAAGACTTGTAGAATATAATGTGTGAAAGTAAAACCAGTGTCGGAGTTCCTTCCTCTGCACACGGGGAGCAGACAGGAAGCTTCTGCCTCACCTTCATCACATGGCCTGTAGCCACGTCCCCCTAGGTCAGACTTGAGGAGAATGAAACTTTGGTCTTCACTGTGGACACACTACCAGGTGCTCCAAAGCCATGGCCTCTCCTTGGGTGGGTCCTGAGGAGAACAAAGCTCTAGTTCTAACCCTAACCCTGTCTGTAGACTTTGACTCTGACCCTAACCCCTGACCCATACCCTGGTCCCTAATTCTGACCCTTTGACCGTATCTTTTATCTTGACCCTGACTATGACCCCACCTCTAACCATACTTCCAGCCTGACCCTGACCCAGACCCTAATTCTAACCTGAACACTATTATTACCTTTACAATCTATCTCCAATCTTACCCTCTAGTGCTAAATAGCTGTACCCAAAAGCACTTTTTGGATTATTTAACTTCTTTTCCTTGAATTCTCTAAGGACATCCTAAAGGAGATGTCATTATGTATTTTGCATATGGCTTCAGATAAGAAGTTCTAATACGTTACAAGACATAAGAAGTGTGAAGGGTAACAGCACTGGGTTGTTAGGAATGCATGCTGGCGTTCACGGTAGTCATTGGTGCTGTTCTCCAAATATTTTCAGTTCATTTCTTATGAATGCATTCTGACTGTTCCATCCCACCTACTTAAATTTTTGCATGGCCACATAACTTCTTTTTATTTTTATTTTTTTGCCATTGGAGATGAGAAGAAATAATACGTGAGTTTTTTAGGAGAAATCTCCAAGAAACAGAGTTCTATCCAGTATGCTTTCTGTCTTACTGATGGTACCTCCTTCAGCCCTAATTCCTGTGTTAGGATGACACCACGGCACAGAGCCACCTCTCACCTGACCCATGATGAGATGCAAACACATGAGGAAGAAGATTTTTGAGCCACTGAAATTTGGAGGTTGTTCGTCACCATCGTTTAACCTAGCCCTCACTGACTGATGCAGAGCTGAAGAATGAGTCAGAACTGGATCTGGGATGTGAAGGGCATTCCTCCAGGCTAAGTAAAATTCAAGTCTTGTTGCAAAGATAACAGGGAGCACGATGTGTTATTGGGGTGAGTGTGGGATAAATAGGGTACATCAAGTGAGAATAATGAGAAATTCAACTTTAAAAGACAGTGCTAATTTGGACGGTGGAGAGATTCCAATGTCCTACTTAGCATTTGAAATTGTGATGGCTGAACAAACTCATTAAGAACCCCAAACGAAAGCTTGGGATAAATATCCGAGGGTGTCTCATATGCCATTTTTTTATCCTAGAATGGGCAGAGTCCTTCACCCCATTCTAGGGAGACTTCCAGAAGAAAAAAGACCTGTATTTCTCCAACAACCCACATTGAGAGACTTTCCTGCACTTTTGACCTGTGGCTAACACTCCTCACCTTTCATTCTGTCCTCAGTGTTTTGGGGAAACACCTTTAACTCTCTATGACTTACAGGTTATTAAGTGGTGCTTATAATTCCCCCAAGAGATAGAAAAGACTAATGATAAGGAAGTCTGAGCTCATAGCAGCAAGGGGGCATGTGTGCTTAGCAGCCACGTGGCCCATCTGCTAGGAGATTACAACATACGACGTTCCACAACATTGCTTAACACAAGGGGACACTCTCCTGACTCAGAGGGATAATTGCTCAACTACTGCTTTTTCTGCCCTCTTGGACTCCTAAAATGAAAAGAACCCTGGGTGATAAAGTGAGTCAAAGGGGTGCCAACCGTATCACAGCAAAATAAAGATCCCTAAAAAAATCCCTGGCCTAAGATGACAGCCTTAGCTGGATAAGTCTGAATGTGCTGACAGTGGACACGGGAGAGTGAAGGTGGTCAAAATGTCCACATTAAAGAACTTCCGTGCAGACTGCAAGAAAAGAGAGAGGAATGGAGATGGCAGCCCGAGTCCCTACTCTAAGGCTGGTCGCCTCGCTGGGAGCTCAGACACGCCCATACCTCTCCGCGCCCAGAGACTACATCACCACTCCACACCCAAGCTCTACATGCAGCACCTAGGCTGACGCTGAAAAACCCTGCCAAAATTTAAAAGAAGCCCCGCCAAAACCCGCCCAATAGCAGTTTGTTCCATCCACGTCCCGCTTCCCCTGGGCAGCTCGCTCACCAGAAATCCTGCCTACCTACCAATGGCGGCTGGCCCCTTTCACGTCCTGTTCCCTCATAGCCAATCAGGACACCCTCACTCGCTATAAAACCCCACACCTCGGGAAGTCGAGCACGACTTTCCTGGCCCCTTTCCCCGGGACCATGGAACCTCGTCTCGGAATTGAATAAATTGGCATTTAATTTTCTTATGCTAGTCTCAGTTTCCTCATTCTAAACTCGGCAATAACCCTTACACCTACCATAAAAGCAGATGTTTTCAGATCAGTTATATTTATTCTGACAAAAAATTAGAGATAGAAACCAAAGTTTAGCCTGAGGCTACTATTAACTGGGCAATAAGCCAGAGGCACATGTGGTATAGACAGATGTAAACGTTCTCCCTTATATTAATATAAATACTAAAATGATAGGATATAAATATAAACACTTGGGTCTACAGTAGTATCTAAAGGAGAGCTCACAAACAGGTTTAGCTTTTGAAGGTTAGCACTGATGGTCTAGATCATTTTGCTGCAGAGAGAGAAAGAGAGAAATTTCTTGGGTCTCTTCAGGAAGGCATCTGGCTTTGCCTCATCTTGTATGTTTGAACTATGCATACGGCAGAAGAAAACATGAGGATTTCACAGATTTAAGGTGTGAAAAGTCACTGGGTGCTTTAAGCAGCCTGGGATTCTTCTGCTGGAAAAATAAGTTTGTTGAGACAAAATGAGTTGGAGAAGGTTGTTACTGAAGTGAGGCAGAAATGCTTTTACTAATCTGCTTATTACCCTCACCCTCACCCCCACCCGTATCCCCACCTTAACCTCTAACCCTAAACCCTAACCTCGACCCTACCTCTACCCCAATCCCTAATCCTACTCTTTAGCCCTGACCCTTGACCCTTGACCCCAACCCCCAAACCTCAACACGAACCCTAACCTTAACCCCTAACTCTAACACTACCCCTACCCCTAATCTTAACACTTTACATCTGCCCAGATTCTCCGGCAGAAGCAGGAACCCTTGGCTCCCAGGTTGGCACCACTGCATCTGGCACAGGTCTCCGTAATAGTCCCCAAGTAGGCACATGAATGCCCATTGTGCCAGCCATGCAGTGGAAGTCCAGGGTTCTCACCTCCAGAACCAGGGCCCAGGGCCTGCATCAGGCTGATCAGGGATGAAGTGAGCTGGGCACCCAAGGTCTTCATAAGACCAAGGCTATCTCGTGCCTCCTGTTAGAGAGCGAACTTTCACACAGTGAGGCTGCACACATTATTCTGTGTAGATGCCCACCTCGGCCACTGGGAGAAAGGGTGGTAGAGGGACCCTCATGTTGCCCTGTGGTATACACACTCCAGTTTATACGACTGCAAGCCATTTATGAGAAACTCAAGCTGAAACACTACTTGTTCCCAACGTTTTATCGGCAGAGGATTTACAATTTACTCTCCCAAACAAGCTAGCCACAGAGCACACTGAATACCTCCCCCTCTTAAGTCACTTTGAGGGCCTCCACATCAGTCGTAGAACTGGAAGATTGGTGGAGAAGAACTGGGGTGTTGATGGGGTACTGGATACATGCTGGACACCAGCCTCCCCTTACCTGAGCTTACAGACAGCCCAGATCCTGCCTGACCTAATCAGACATTTTGACACACACAGCTCTCAATAGCAGGACTTACAGATGCAAAACTCTAAGGCAAAGGATTGTCTCAACTCCTTGGTGTCTCAAGTAACTAAAACACTGCCTAGCACAGGTGCACCATCAGCCTTATCACTAAATAAACCTCTATATTTTATTCATCTTTGATAGTGAAAATGATGTGATAAACACATTGGACTAAAGATCTTTGAGATCTCTTCATGAGATCCTATCTGGTGGACCCCCAGATCTGCCAACACAGAGAAGGCATCCATAAACATCTGCAGGACAGAGCCAGACTATACTACAAACCTATAGTAACCAAAACAGCATGGAACTGGCACCAAAAAAAGGGGCCAGGGAGAGACAGAGATAGAGATAGATGAAAGACAGACAGACACAGACAAATGAAACAGAATAGAGAACTCAGAAATAAATTCACCCATTTACTGTCTACTCATTTTTAACAAAGGCACCAAGAAGACAGCTTCAAGAAGGACAGTCTCTCTTCAGTAAACTGTGCTAGGAAAACACAACACCCATATGTACAAGAATAAATCTAGACTGTTATCTTACCATATATAAAAATCTACTCAAAATAAAGATTTAAATGTAGGACCTGAAACTATAAAACTACCAGAGAAGAAAAAATAGGATAAATGCTTCATGAAATTGGTTAGGATAAGGAATTTTCAAATAGATATCAAAAGCACAAGAAACAAAAGCAAAAATAGACAAATGCAATTGCATTAACTGTAAACACTTCTGCAAAGTAGAGGAAGCAATCAGTAGCATGAAGAAACAATCCAGAAAATGGAAGAAAGTATTTGCAAACTATGCATGAGGCAAGGAGGTGATACACAAGACATATAATGAACTCAAACTACTCAAAAGCAAAAATACAAATAATCTGATTTAAAAATCAGAAAAAGATTTACCCAAAACCTTTGTTCCCCACTGTTATTTCCCCATCTTCTTTTCCCGATTGCCTTTGGCCTGCTCCCTCTCACCACCCTTTTTCTTCCTCCATCTACCCCAAAACTTTTCCACCATTTTTCCCCACTGTCATTTCAAAAAGCCTTCTCTATGCTCCCACTCACTACTGTTTTCACCGTTTATCTACCCAAAACTTTTCTTCACTGTTTTTCCCCACTGTCTTTTCTCCCTTTCGCTGGACATGTTCTTTTTCCCCCTCCTGCTCTCAACTTCTTTTGCTCCTTCATCTATACAAAAACATTTCCCCCATCGTTTCTCAAAGCCTTCTCCCCACTCCTACTGCTCACCACCTGTTTCCCCCTTCATATACCCAAAATTGTTTTCCCCATCATCTTCCCCCACTCCTTGCCACCCTCTTTGCCATCTCAATCTACCCAAAAACATTTACCCAGCCTCTTTTCACAAACCCTTTGCCTCTGCTTGCCACCCTTTTTGTCCTCCAGATACCTTAAACTATATTCCCCATCATTTTTTCCCAACCTTCTTTCCCCACTCCCACTTGTCACCTTTATCCTTCTCCCGCTTGCCACCCTCTTTTTCCCCCTCCATCTACTTAAAAACTTTCCTCTTCATCTTTTCACAAAACCTTCTCTCCCTCCTGCTGGCCACTCTCTTCCCCCTCCCTCTCTGCACCCCTTTTTCCCCTTCCACTTGCCACCCTCTTTCCCCCGACCTCCATCTACCCAAAATCATTTTAACCACTGTCTTCTTTCCCTGTCTTTCTTTTCTTCCAACTGTGTTTTGCAAATGTTCTCTCCCTCCTGCTTAGCCCCTTCTTCCCCACTCACCACCCTCTTTTTCCTCATCCCACTTGCCAGAGAGTGAGACTCCATTTCAAAAAAAAAAAAAAAAAGAGAGAGAGAGAGAGACTGTTAGATGTTGTGTAGATATCTTTGTAAGTCATCTATTTTCTGCTTTCTACATATCTTGAAAGGCAGTCCCAGATGGCGGGTTATCTAGGTCGTAAAAATAAAACATACTTCCTCTTCCCTTGAATATAACAGCATTGTGGGATTTGCTTTTTTCTTGGATCATTGTTCAGAAGGAGGGTCAGCCCCCAGACAGCCACATTTTTGCTGTCATGAATGGCAAGAGAAAATGTACAGCTCAATTTACCCAATGGACAAAAAGGCTCAAATAATGACACAACTTAGCAGCCAAATTCCTATCAAGTACAGACTTTGGACATACTATTCCCTCTCCACCTGCAACTGGGAACATGCACTTTGAGTGATGTCATTCAAAATTACCCTACCCAGACACACTCTTCATTGATTCTTTGAAGGGTGGTCCCAACAGACTCTCTGGGGCTTTCTCTTCACCATGAGAGGCAGTGCAGCTCGCCCTTCACCTTCCTGCAGTTTGTCACCTCTTCCTTATGATCTCAGAGGAACTTTGTCTCAGGCCAACTGTTTGTTCCTTGGGCTCTTTCATTTCCCCTAAAAATCACTGACTCCCCCTCTAAGTTGCCTCCATCTGCATCTACCTCCCTCTCTCCTGAAAAGACAGCACTCTTTAAGCATCAGCCATCTGCCCCTTCTTGCAGTCTCATTTTTCAGCTGGCTCCCATGTTTATGCCTGTTCTATGTTTTTCTTCTCCTGTTAAGCTGTCTGTTGTTGGTTCATTTCTGCAGTGAACCTTTAGAGAGGAAAGTGAAAGCTTTCCTTCCAGCCAAACAATAGAATTACAAAGCAGAAAAGTTTAGATAGAATTTCCCATTTAAGTGCCAAAACTTCATACTCCATTTCTGTTAAAGAGCACAAGGGTTGAAAAAAACAAACTTATTTTTAACCCAAAGTTCTGTTGACATTCTATTAAACAAACACAACCTACTCATTTTTCATAATGTAAATGGCAGATATTTTTATAATTCTTATGCTAATAAATCATTTCCCTGATGTTTTTGGTAAAACTCAATATTCATAATAAAGTCCAGAACCATGGATTGTTTTAAATAATTTCTTCTTATGTGTGATTATAAGTATACCTCTACAGGAAGTTAGTATACGCTCACACAAGCTCATTTTTTGGAGGAAATGACCAACTGTAGAAACTCCTAGAAACACAATAGTGATAAGAATCCACAGAATGCCAAGAAAGTCATGCCCAGGATACAAATAATCGGGTGGAAACCTGACGGCCTGGAATAATAATAGTTGAAATAATGAAAAGGTCAGTGACATTTACAATATTTCAGTAAAAAATGATAACCTTTAGAAAATCATCAACCTCCTCCAAGAGGTAACCACACCCCTCAGATATCACCAGAGTATTCTACTGCTTCAAAAAAGATTGGAAGTTACCAGTCTCATGTTTTTGGCATGGCTGGTAGTGTTTTTAGGCATTCCAAATGTAGGGTGTCTTTTTTTTTTTTTTTTTTTGACGTAAAGCAGGAATATCCAATTTTTTGCCTTCCGTTGGGCAATATTAAAAGAAACAAACTTGTCTTAGGCCAAACATAAAATACATTAACACTAACAATGACTGATAATCTGAAAAAAAAAATCACAAAAAGGCCAGGTGTTGTGGCTAATGCCTGTAATCCCAGCACTTCGGGAGGCTGAGGCTAGCAGATCATTTGAGGTCAGGAGTTCCAGACCAGCCTGGCCAACATGGTGAAACCTCATC